TGTAGTCATTTGGGCATTGTTGATGAGTGTTTGGAGCTGCTGAAGTTGCTTCTTGCTAAAACTTGAACCGTCAATCTTGTTTTCTTCCATAGCAACCTGAAAGCTCTTGCCTTGTTCTACTTGCTTGTGTGGTTTCCAAGTTGCTGGTTTCCCATGAATTTTCCAGCAAGGTTCTTTTGCATGATAAGGGCGTTGACAATGATCACACCAAGCCTATCATTCCTATGGTTACCACGTTGATCTCCAAGTACAGAATAATCATTTTTCTTGAAAACAAGAGCTGAGTTTTGAGAGGTGTCTACTGCAAGGGGTTTTTTGGTTCCTAGCATGACTGTCCTTTGACTTTTTTCTCTTTTTGCTTCAGCGAAAGCCTCCGTAATGCTTGGGACAGGTTTGGTTCCAAGTATTCTACCCCTCACCTCATCAAGCTCCTTATTTAGACCATCAAGAAAATCAAAAACACTTTCGTTCTCAAGTATCATCTTGTATTTTTTGCTTTCCTCTGCACAATGCTAGTCTGTATTAGAAAACAAATCCATTTCTTGCCAAAGGCTAGTCAGGTTATTGTAGTACTTAGTCACAGAATTCTGCCCTTGCATCATATCTTTCAAGGTTGACTTGATTTCAAAGAATTGTGTTTAGTTTTCAAGATCTAATTACATCTCCTTCATCATATCCCAGATTTCTTTAGCAATTATTTTGAAAAGATAGGTTCTTCCAATCTTAGGCTCCATAGAATTAACTAACAATGCCATTACCATGGAGTTTTCAGAAATCCATGTTGAATGGCTTGGTTCTCCTTCCTTTGGTTCATTTGTTGCACCAAACCTTTGTACAATACCCAGAGGTGGATCTTCTATCTTCAATTGATCCTACCCAGTCTGCATCTGTAAATGCTTCCACATTTCTCTGTTCATTCTTCTCAAACAGCAAAACCTTACTAGGTGTGTGGCCTTCAAATACCTTAAAGATTCAATACACAACTTCAAGATGCTCCTCAATTGGAGAGTGCATGTATTGACTTACTACACTAACTGCGAAGGCAATATCAGGTTTTGTATGAGACAAGAAGATCAGCTTTCCAACCAATCATTGATATCCCTCCCTATCTATTGGTATTCCTCTCTTCTTTCCAAGCTTGACATTGGGATCTAAATGTGTGTTAGCTGGTTTATAGCCAAGCATACTAGTTTCCTTAAAGAGATCAACTGTATGCTTCTTTTAGGAAACAATAATGCCATTCTTGCTCCTTGCAACTTCCATCCCTAAAAGGTATGTTAGTTGTCCAAGATCTTTAAGTTCAAACTCTTTTCCAAGAGTCTTCTTTGGCCTCTATTTTTTTAATGTCATCACCTGTCAGTATAATATCATCAACATTAACTATTAAAATAGTCTTTTTGCCATGTTTTGAGTGTTTGAAAAAAAGAGTGTGATTAGTTTGTTCTTGACTAAATTCATGTCCCCTTATTGACTTTGCAAAGTGATCAAACTAGGCCTTTAGTGACTGATTTAAACCATACAGAGATTTCTTTAATTTGCATACCTTCCTGGCATTGTTTTCCCTTCAAACCTAGGCGGCAAATCCATATAAACTTCTTCAACCAACTCCCCATTAAGAAAGGCATTCTTGACATCCACTTGGTGTAATGGCCAATCAAGATTAGCAACTAGTGAAAATAATACCCGTATAGTATTCAATTTAGCAACAGGAGTAAAGGTTTCAGTGTGGTCTACTCTAAAAGTTTGAATAAACCCTTTTGCAACTTGGCGGGCCTTGTGTCTCTCTATTCCACCATCTGAATTGTATTTGATAGTAAATACCCACTTACATCCAACTAGTGTTTTTCCTCTAGGTAACTCCACAACATCCCAAATCTTGTTCATTTCCAGTGCTTTCATTTGTTCAAGTACTGCAACTTTCCATTTTGAAATTTTTAGGGCTTCTTCAATATCTTTTTGGGATTTTAGCTTCCTCAATCTTTTCTACCAGTGTACAAAATGCTGTTGACAAACGGCTGTAGGATAGGTAATGGACAGCGGGTGTTGAGTGCATGATCTATCTTACACCTTTTCCTAAGTGCTATAGGTATGTCTAGCTCATCAAGTAGAGTGTTCATTGGCTATGGTGCTGTAGACCAAATATTTTATGATTTAGGATTTACTTGTGGATCTGATTCTTGATAATACGGTTGGGGTATAGAAGTCTCTACTTCCTAAGGTAATGGTTTACATCGTAAATAAACACGGAGCTCTGTATTTTTGTTGAGGACTAACCATAGATGAATCTTTCCCTATTTCCAATTTAATTTCTGTTGGTGACACAATAGGAATAGTTGATGTTACTAGAAGAGGATAAAAAAATCCCAAAGCTTATCTTCATCTATTGTCTCCCTTTGAAGAGTTCGTGTTGGGTAAAAGGGTTGATTTTCAAATAATGTGACATCTAATGAGACAAATGTTTGTTTTGTGGATGAATAGTAGCATTTATACCCTTTTTGAGTTGGAGAGTACCCAATAAATATACATTTTATAGCTCTAGGTTATAGTTTCCCACGAGATGGACTTTTGTTGTGAACAAAACTTGTGCATCCAAAAACTTTTGGGGGTAAAAAAGTAGACAACCTAATTTGTGGATATAACTCAAGTAACATGTTCAATGGTGTTTTGAAATTGAGAACTCTACTTGGAAGTCTATTTATCAAGTATGAGGTTGTTAAAATAGCATCTTCCAAAAAAAACTTAGGAACATTATTGGTAAACATGATAGCATGAGCTACTTCTAATAGATGACGGTTTTTACGTTCTACAACCCCATTCTGTTGAGAGGTATTAACACAAGAGCTTTGGTGAAAAATCCCAATTTTTGTTAGATAATCACCAAGAATTGAATTAAAATATTCCCTCCCATTGTCTATGTGAAAAATTTGGATTTAAGCTTGAAACTGAGTTTGGACCATTTTGTGGAATTGTTGAAAAACTATCTTAGCATTAGACTTGTCTTTTAACAAGTAAACCCAACAAGCTTGTGTGTGATCATCTATAAAGGTTATGAACCCCCTAGTTCCATTTATGTTATTTTCCCATGAAGGTCCCCAAATATCACTGTGAACAAAAGAAAAAGGTTTAGAAAATCTATATGGATGACTTGGATAATGAACATGAGTGCGTTTGGCAAGTTGACAAGTTTCACAACCAAAGGAATGGACATCTTTATTCTTAAAAAGTGAAGGGAACAGAGTTTTTAGATATAGATAACTAGGATGTCCTAACCTATTATGCCCTAACATAATTTCATTAGAAATAGATACAGATTCACCATTTAGAGCCAAAGCTTGTTTGTTCACTTGTTGAGTATCCTCAAGATGGTACAATGCTTCATGCTCCTTAGCATCGCCAGTCATTCTCCCTGAGAGTAAATCTTGAAACTCACAATATGAAGGATAAAACTTAGCCACACAGTTCAAGTTACTTGTCAACTTACTAACGGACACTAGGTTACATGCTAAATTAGGAACATGCAAGATTGAAAATAATGTCATATTAGAAAATAGTGTCATGTTGAATGGCCTGGTTCTCCTTCCATTGGTTCGTTTGTTGCACTAGTCAAATAGCCGATTTCACCTTTCCTTTGAATCACCAGTATCACAGATCAATACTACTCTAGAAAGTTTGTTCCATTGAGTTTATATTGTGTTATTTGCAGGGAATGCAAGTCACTTGCAATAAGCACCATTGGCAAAGAATTTTGAATCGGTTCAGAGGTCACCTATATGTACTCTGTCGAGAGACACTAGTCATGGTTGTTTGGCCATGAGAAAAGAAAAAAATTCGGAAGCAAACCTTGCTCTGATTCTATGTAATCAGAGACAAAATAGTATTCTCTGATTGTTATTTTATTAAAAAAGAATCCCCAAATATATAGAGGAATTGATATGTACAAATAATCCCACACAATCAGGACACAATCATCTAAACATAGAAACAAATAAAAGACTAGAAATATAAATCCCAACAAATCAGGAAACTGAGCCTGATTTGACGCATAGGCTCCATTTGTTTCATAGAAAATGACTTTCGGATAATAATTTTTTAAAAATGTTTACATTTTTTAAATTGAAAGAGATTATTTGTTGCTTGGATGAATTAATGAAAAATGTTTTCTATTGTTTGGTTGTTTGTTGAAAAATCTGTATTTTTTTCAAATAATATTAATATAACTATTAAAATATTAAAAAATATTTATTATTAAAATATATTGAAATTATTTATTGTTAAAATTATTAATATTAAGAAATAATTATATTTCAATAATATTTAATATTAAAATATTATGTTAACATAAAAAATACTTAAAATAAAACTATTTATTATTCTTTATATTATTTATTAATATATTATAATATTATTTATTAATATAATATTATTTGTTTATTAATATACTATTATTTATTAAAATTAATATATTAGTATAATATTTATTAATATATTATTTAGTAATATAATATTATTTTTGAAAATATTATAATATTATTTATTGATTTAATATTATTTATTAATTTAATATTATTTATAAGTAAAATTATGCTCAAAAGTATTGATAAATAGTTCTACTCATAGATAGTTTTTTTCCAAAAAATGTCTCCCCTTTTTCAAATCCGTAAGACAATTTAAAAAAAAAGGTCTCATTTTGCATTGATTAGGAAGTCATTTTTCGTTGACTAGTCAGTTTTCCGCCAAAGAAATACCTGAAAATACAGAAATCATTTACCGTGAAACAAACAGAACCATAATCTGTCAACAACATGATTATCTGTCAGTTAATGTTTCCCAAATCCCAAATGCTACCCATCACGCTGAATTGATACTTCCATGTATGGTTTTATGTGTCATGTATTTTGGAAGATATTTGTTGTTTATAGGTGTTATGGGAATATCAAAGAGAATAAATGCAGATTTTATTGTATAAAAATATAATTCTTGTTTTCTGTATTTTACTGCAGGCATAGCTGGGATAAACTGAAGAGCATGCTATCCTTTCAGTTGAAACTGGTATATTTTCTTGTTCTCTGATGTCTTTGACAATGAGATATAATGGTTTTGATTTTTGTAGCTGAACTTAGGATTGTATTGGATTTATTGCTCTTTTTGGATCGTGAAATTTGATAGTTTCTTTTTTCTGTAGTATTTCGCAATCCAGATATGATCTATATACTTCTTTCTGTAATTTATCATACAGGTTTTATCAGAGTATCCTGAGGCAAAAATGACAACTGATGAACAACATGCTTCATTGGGAGAAACTTACCTAGAGCTGGTGTCGCGACTGGATGAAGGTACTTTCTAAACCTTGTTTTTCTTATTCATCCCAAATATGAGTCAAGTTGGCATATTAAAGCATCTATTTTTTTTTAAGTCATCTAATCTTTAGGAGGAAAAATAAACTTAGCAACGTGGATGTGTACAAGAAATCAGTATTTCTATGAGGGGTCTTTGAGCACACTAATGGCATATGAATCTATGCTCAAATATTGCTATTGCTCTATTTGAGCTTTGATGGAGACAAGAAATCAGCAATAATCCTTTTGCCTTTTCTGCGGAGGCATTTTTACTGACATGTACAACTGGGATTATCATTTGATTTATTGGAGTGAGCAGTCAGTTGGTTCGGTTAGTTCGGTTTGAAAAAAACCAATAACCAAATTAACTGATCCTCATTTTACAAATAACTGAACCGATCGAAAATTTCCAAATAACCAACTATAACCGAACTGACTTAAGTTAATTTGGTTCAGTCGATCAAACTTTTCACCATTTTTTCCATTTCATCATATATAAAGTAGATCATTAACATTTCAAATTAATGACTAAATTAGTACTTTATTTGAATCTCTTTCTTGAACACAGAGAAGAGAAGAGACAAACGTAAATCAAAAACTTAAAAATCCAGTATCATCGATTCCAAAACTCCCAAAAAAGCATCTTTCTAGTTGGTTTCATGATTATTAATTTATTATATTGTCTTTCAATTAATCAACACCTCCTTATGTTTCCAGAATCACAATCACCTAATTTAAGTATACAATACCTTGAAAATCAGCGCTTTCTGTTAATCATAGACACAAGCAAAATAGAATCAAGTAACATCAGGGCCACAAACAGTGAAGAACAACAAAAAAGGTTAGGTTAGAAGATAAGTAAAAGGGAGCTCATGGTGGTTGGAGAATGGGTCAAGTGGCTGTTTCAGTACTTATGGTGGTAACTTTAGGTGGTGCTACCCATGTTCCAACTGGGGATTAACGGGAAGGTCTTGTCATTAGTTTCTTTGATCTCATGCAAATTGATCAACAATTGAATCTTGATTTAGGGGCGTGTTTCTGTTTTGGGGTGTGGGTCTTGAGAGGATTAGCAGTAGGGTGGGCAACCCAACCCGAGCCCAAAGGGTCGGGTTTTTTTTTTTTTTGAAAATCGGGTTTCAAGTCAAGTTGGGTAGTGCTAAGAAGAGGTCAGGGTCGGGTCGAGTTCGAGTTTTAGACAAACCCGACCCGATATTATGTAAAATTAATTTTTTATAATTATATATTTATATAATTATATATTTATATATTTATATTTAAAAAAATAATATTTTATATTTAAAAAATAATATTTTATTAATTTGGGGTCGGGTCAGGTTTGGGTATGAAAAAATTAAAAAAAAAATCGGGTCAGGGTTGGGTTTGGCTGATATGAAGTTGGGTCGGGTAGGGGCGAGCAAAAACCCGCCCCGACCCGTTGCCAACCCTTATTAGCAGCAGAAGAAGGAGAAGGAGGAGAAGGAAAGGAACGAGACAGAAAGGCAAAACTCAGAAGAAGACGAGAAGCGGAGCAATTTTTTTTTGGCCTTTTGGGTGTGGGTCTTAGGGGATTAGGAGAAGACTTAGGCTTTTTTAGATGGAAAGTGACATATTTGCTCTTAAGTAATTACCCATTGAAAAGGTTGGTTAATTCAATTGATTCAATTATAAATTTCAGAAACTGAAATTGGCCGATTTAGTCAATTTAACTGAAAAAGAAGTGAATAAAATTGAAACCGATTTAACCAAACCGAGTTAATTAAATTCGGTCAGTTTTAGTTGGTTAAATTAGTTCGAACTGATTTTTGCTCACCCCTAGTGATTTATGAATCATGAATGCCTTTGAAAATTCCCAAGCCATTTTGATCTTTTTGACTTTTTCTTAGGAACTTAGCAAACTCGAGGCCTTTCTATATTGATTTATCTTGGAGTAGTTCATATTTTGTCCATTACTTTTTTAACTCATCTTATGATGTTGATTAGGTTGGCTTGGTGAAAGCACGAAGACAGATCCATAACAGATTGAGTTGACTTGCTCAATTTAGTTGTTAAATTAATTTTAAAAACTTAAAGATAATCTAGTTGCTTTTTCAAAATTTAAGGAATTTTCTACTTTTTCATATTTTCTTTTTTCTTTGATGTGTAGAAGCTTCTTATTTGTTTTCATTTTTCCTTGCAATAGAAATGGAGGAGGGTGATCTTATGTTATTTCAACATATGATACAGATGCTATGGTTGAGTCAATTTCTGTAGAAGAGCTTTTGACACATTTTTCTGGAAAATTACACAAACATTACTTGAGTTTAACCTGCATAACTAAAGTATCCCCATAATTCTGATTTCAACAAGAAAGTGATCCTTTGAAAAACTTACAATGGAATCCCTTTGTTGGTCTTCAGATGGGTAAGATGTTAATTCTACCTTGTCAGCTAATACATCTAATAGCCATGCAACACTAGTAGCCCTACATGTCAATTCATGTGGCAATTTCTTATGTAATAATAGTACTTTGAATTAAACAATAAAAATGAAGAAAAAGTAAGTGAAATCAAAATTAATAGAAAAAATTTAAAAAAAAAAAAAAAAAATAAACCTAGGCATGCCTTTCTCTTTAATTTAAACAGTGCAATCTCATTTGTAAAAACAGAAGAATGAGACACCGCCAATCATAATGCTAAAAATCTTTATTGAAATCCTCCATTATTTTAAAAATAAAAAGAAAAAAAGAATCCAGATTAAAATTTCTTGAAAACTAAACAGAAACTTCCTTCCTCAAATAAACACAAGACAAAATAAACCTAGGCATGCCTTTCTCTTTAATTTAAACAGTGCAATCTCATTTGTAAAAACAGAAGAATGAGACACCGCCAATCATAATGCTAAAAATCTTTATTGAAATCCTCCATTATATCTAGCAAATTAAGCCACAATGCTAAAAGTCTTTATTGAAATCCTCCATTATATCTAGCAAATTAAGCAAATATCTGAAGATGCTCCAATTGTGCACAAAAATGATTGTAACATTAATATTTTGCTTGATTGGATTAATTATTGTGAAGTAATGGTTTTGAAACTTAAGCAGATGCTTCACATTTGGCTCAATGCTATTATGTATTGACATCAGCAATGTGATTCATGAGAGTGAGTGCATTGAGGGTTTGGAAGAGGGATTTAATCTTGTGAGATATGGGGTGAGAGGGAGAGGGACCATGACGTGAGGGGAGTGAATATATTAAGTAATTTAGGGTACTGGGATAGAAAGTGAAGATGGGGATGGATTTGGTTCATTTCTTCCGAGTATGATTTCACTATATGCTAAAATTGTCATTTCAACAATTCAATCCCATTTTGGACACAGCAATAATACAGCTTGGACACAGCAATGAAGGGGTAAAGACTTTTATTGCTACTGGTGGTGAAGGCACAAATGGTTTGTCATTGTTTACTCAGCCAGATAAATTAAAAAGAAAAGAGGGAAACATGAGAACAAAGCAATCTTCCCTTTCTTTTGGCCTTAGGTGGAGCCAATCTAATTGGGTGAACTCCAATTAGTGGGAAAAAGTTGATGAAACTATGATACAAGGTAGAGGTGGAAGTAGATGAAAGGGGAAGAATATAAATGGCTCTCTGTTAAACCATTACCAGCCAGTTGTTTAAAAAGAAAGAGAACGTGGGTCAAATAGGAATTTGATTAGAGAAAGAGAACATGGTAAAACTGGTCAAATAATAGATGGGATTGCATTGGATTGGATGACTTAAATTCTTTTGGGTAATATGTTGAACTTATACTTGTTGGGCCAGATTTATTTATAATAATCCACTATAGTTATAAAATTATCATAAAATTTAGCAATAGCAAAATATTTTTTAAAAGAAGATTTTAGTGCATGTTGATTATTTTTATGCAAAATTAATAAATTTATGACATAAACATATTAATATATATTTATTATTTTTTTAATTGGCATATCCTGTGTCCTAATTTTTAAAAAAATGCCATATCATTTTGTCTGTGTTTTGTCGTATCCGTATCCCATGTCCATGTTTCCTAGCTGTTGTTCATAAAATCTTACAACCTTAGTCTAGCTGCTGCATTAAGCCGTGAATTCTCCTGAACTCTATTTGTGCTGGAGCCAGTTGCCTTTTTCTATTTTTTCTTTGTTACTTTTTATTTAAAGATTATTGCTTTCCATGTCTGGAATACCCAGGCATTTGCAAGGGGTGGACTGCATGTTTCTTGTTGCTACATGTGAATTTCTTGACAAGGTTGCAATTATGTTTGGAGAAGCTGCAATAGCATCAGATGATATTCGTAGGGATGTCTTTAAATCTTTCTCTCATTTTATTCTTAAGCAGGCAAATAGCAAGAGCTTTTCTTGTAGAAGCATTTTACATTTGTCTTTATTTAGTGATTACCTGATAAGGGATTTACCTAATGGACAGAATTGTAATGATATTTAAGTGGTGGTTACACTGGAGCCCAAATTCTGGATTATAGGTGATTCAACAAAGAATAATTAGGACTCTCTCTCTCTTGAAAATAGGAAAGCGGGACAATGGTGGTTCTGTTGCCTTTTGGCAGTTTTAACTTTCAGTTTTCTGTTAGATCATCAAGTGTTAACTGCGAGTAGTTTTCAACACAACATTGTCCATCAGAATTTGTGAATTACTACCTCCCCACAACTAAGGGATATAAGAAATCTTATTAGTCACAAGAAGTAATAAAGACAATAGCAAACATGCGTATTTGTATTTATAGGTGGGATGGAGGAGGAACCCTGATAGGATGGAAAGTTGAGATGATTCTTGTTTTTTGCATTTTTGGTGATTTTTTGGTGTATTCATTATAGTATTTAGAGTCTACTTTGATTATGTGAAGCAATTATTTCAAATTTTTGTTTGTAATTTTTGTGATTTGAAGTCTCACCTTGTTCAAGTATTCAAATATCTTTTTCTTTCTTTGCAGAGCTTCATTGTTTCATTGGGGGCCCACCATTTACCCTTCAAAGAATATGTGAGGTGACTACTTTATTTTGTATTATATTCCATAAATTTTACTATAATTTGGTGATATTGTTACTATTCTCTTCATTGACTGTTTATCACTTTTGGCTATAACTTTAGTTTTTCCTAGATTAGTTTTGTTTATTTGCATACGAGGTTTTTTTAATGTATGCACTCACTTAATCTTATCTTTACTTGTATACCCACCTGTCTAACATTTGTATTCTCATCTCAAACGCTCACTTTTGTGCATGCTAATAATTACTTGCCCAACATTCAATCATGCATTACATTGCTAGTTTATTGATGTCCTGTAACATTTCCCATAAGTTTTAGTGGAATTTTGTAATTACACAAGATTCTTGAATCACTTTATTTAACTCATCTGGCCTGAATTCTGTGATTAACATTTCTATCAATTTCTTCATCTTTTGGATAATTAAACCAAGAGACGAGTATTACTTGCTTTATTGTCTGCCTTGATTTACAATATTCACTTATCCTCTGCCACTGCTGTCAGTACTGAAACTTATGTACAAGGAGTAATTTGAACATTTTGTGAAAGTACAGTTACTGAATTCAAACTTAAACTTTCCAGTGTAATATGGTATCAAATTTTGTAAGTGATCAATGCTGTGATACCTTTTCTCTTTACTGCTATAAGATTACATTTTTTTAAACTTTCCAGTGTAATATGTATCAAATTTCATGAAGTGATAAATGCCGTGATACTTTTTCTCTTTACTGCTGTAAGATTTTGTTTTTTTTGGTGCAAATGTTATGCTCAACAGATCCTACTGGCTGCAAGAAGTATCTATCCAAATCTCTCTAAGCTTGCCTTAGCACTAGAAAAGGTATGGTAATAAAAACTTCCCATAATTTTGTGTCCTTGCTTCTATTTGTTGAGTCTCTTTCTTTCTGTCTCTCTACCTCAATTCTTCTACAGTTTTGCAATTAGCTGCAGGAGATGGCTTTCATCTTGAACTAACTCGTTTTCCCTTTTGGAAACTTTACCTACCATAGGTTGAATATTTAATTGAGTCAATCTACACTGGACACAGTTGACTTGTGTATACCTTTTTTGTTTTTTCAAATATTCTGATATACGGTTGGCCTCATAGCTTTATCCTTTCAACGGGAATAAGTTTTCTTTGTCATACAGTTCAGCTTTAGCTACATTGATTGAAAGCTTTGGAGACCTTTTTAATTGGGTTAATTCCAAAGCCAGCAAATTCTTGAACCTATTATAAATGATGATTAAGTTTATGTATTTTATATTTGTTTGGTCATGTAGAATTTGCTGGTAACCTCTACATTGACAGTCTGCACCCAACCCTATCCACAAATGATGCCAAATCCAGAACCAGAAAAGTCAAGTGACGAAGCTCAACCACAGTCTAATTCAATCCAAAATGGGGTTGAACCTATGGTGGGAGAAAGGGATGAGATAATGACCGAGGTGGAGGCTGGTATAGATGATATGACTATTGACATGGATGCCTTCCAAGAAATGGTCGGATCATCAGAAACAAATTCTACAGCGGCCGAGAATTCTTAGGTTGATAGCCCTTTCCACCCCAGAAACACCTTAATTCTTAAAGTTTTTGGATCCCCCTTCTGCTCCTATGGAGGGACACTTAAAAGCGCTGCTGATTTCTTGAATGTTGTGACTGCTCTCTTGTATTTAGGTTACCATTTTGAAGAAACCTTGGGGAAGACAGCAGCAAGGGTCACTGCATTTGGTCCTCAAGGGAGTTAAACAAATATTTTCCTTCTGATACTTCCCTAGATGCTGTGTTTGTAAGATTGTCAACATGTAACAACGGCTAGGTTTTTTTCAGTTTTTAGTTTTTATTTTTTTAAAAAATTCTTTTTGGCCATTATTACAAGGACCATTTAGCTTGTCAATATTTTAAGAGCTAGTTTTGATGTATTAGTCTGACAAAAAATGATTATATGCTTTTTTGTCGTGGAGAGACAATTGAACTGCCAATGATGTATTCAAGGTGAATGTTGGATTGATGTTCTCTTTATTTTGCTTTCTGGTTGTTCTGTTAGTGTTCAAGACTTGGCCCTTTCTCATTGCTATTTGATGGTACAATTTTTATCTTCTATATCAACGGCGGATTCTTTAGATTTCAGAAAAATTTAGTAGGTGAATTTTAATCGATTTAATTGGAATGTGGTTCCATGGATGTTAATCCATGTGAAGAAGGAAAGCAAATGATACAAGTTGACTGTTATGCATGGCAAAGAAAGAAAGCATTAGATGTGGGAAAAGAAAGCTAGTGTTCCCAGTTTCAAGCCAGGAGGTTCCTTAGAATTCGATAAATAGATATTAAGAACGATAAACAAACAACAAAGTAGCCATCTGGAACTGGAAGGAAAAGAAACAAAGCAACATCTCGAGATTATGCAAGAGATTTCACATCCACCTCTTTCTCCTAGTAAGGCCACAGGTCGATTCCACCAGGCTTTTTCACGAGCAGTTGATTGTATTCAGGCCGCGACGTCTGCAACCCACATCCAAACCCCAATTATTCCAAAACAACTCAACCCTTTGTTGTCCAATATTCAGCAATCACATGCCTGCCTTCCTATCGCTCAGTATTTATTATGATAATCTAATTTGAAAGGATTGGGATTGGTTTTGTCACCATATCCCATTTTTTGCAACTGAAAACTATTCTATGAAAAACAATCAACCTTTCTGAATATCAGAATTGCAAACCCAAAACTCCAATGGATGATATAAGACAAACAGATAAAAAGGAACTTACCAGATCTTTGAAGATCAGGAAAGCGATGATGAAGAAGAGGAAGAAAAGGATCTCGAACTCTGCCAATCTGAAAAACTCGAAGATGTTATTGACGGCAGCGGTCAGTGTCCACCCTTTTCTGCCTCTGCTGCTATCCCGACTCCTGCCCACACGTTTCGCCATTTCTTCTCGCTTCTCAATCCTTTCTAAAAACTCGTTATACAGTATTATACATTTCATTGACCGGAATTTCTGCCAAATAAAATAATTTATAGACATAGCAATTTAGTGGGTGGAATCGTATTTGCCCCAGGTCATTAGAAAATTCAGTTCTTTTTTTGTTCGGGCTTTCTTCGACTTTTCTCATTTTAGATGTCAATTTGAATTTGTTCTTACTCGCGATCATTTTGGGTCAGGTATCTTGAGTTCAAGTTATTAATTTTTAGAGTAAAATTAATTTACGAAAGCGTTTGGTTTGAGAAAATTTAACCTTTTTTTTTTTTGAAATTTTATATTCTATAATTTAATTTTTATGTTTGGTTTATAATATCTTATTTTTAGATTATTTTAAGATTTTTAATGGTATTTAAATATTTCATAATTAAAAATTTACATTTCTTTATGATTGTTTAATATTTTGAAAGGAAAGTTAATTTTGTTTTATATGTGACTTTAATAACAAAAATTATTTATTTATTTTATGCTTAAAAATTAATTTAATTATATAATAAATAAAATTCCTTTCTAACATGAAAATAAACATTTATAATCATACTATTAGGTAAAAATATAATCATAATCATACGATTGGATTCATGACACATGATTGTACACGTAATGTATTATATATAATAAAAAATAACATTTTAAAAGAACAAATATAGTAAATAACTACAATTTCATGTTTTTTATTTTTTAAAATTTTAAAAAGCATTATGTTTTTATATTGCTAAATGTAATAGATTAATTAAAATAATAATAAAATAATATATATTTTCATATCAACGATATTTATAATATAAAATTGTAGTAATTGATGTAATTTAAAAAAAATTGATACTTAAAAATGTAGTATTTTCTAACAAATATTACGTTTATTAGTTTAAAAATGTAGTTGATAATCTATCAAGACCTTTTTTTTTTTCAAAACGTAGTTGATAATAACTAAAAAATTTAGATTTTTAAATTGTTTAGACTACATTTTTTTTTTTGTGTTAAAAATGTAGTTTTTTAAATACAAAAAGCATATTTTTGACATAACAAACGTAATTTTTGAATAGCTAACAAATACCATATGTTTGACAAAAAAATGTGGTTGCAAAACTAACAAAAGTCGTGGTTTTTATGTCAGCAACGTGGTTTTTGTAATGTGTCAAAGAATACGTTTCTAACATAAAATTATGGTTTTTGTAAAATCCAATCAAAACCACATTTTTTGCTCTTAAAATATAGTTTTTGACATAGTACAAAAACTATGTTTTTGACATAAAAAAACGTGATTTTTGTTAAAATCAGTAAAAGACCACTTTTGATGCTTTCAAAACATCATGTTTGAACATATTATAAAGACCACGTTTCTGACATAAGAAATGTAGTTTTTGTAAAAATCATTCAAAAATCACATTTTTTATTTTCTAAACATAGTTGATAATGAATAAAAAATAACATAATAAACTTACATTTGAACATGATATAATCCACTTTCTTTTTTCAGACTATATTTGCATAGCTCTAACCAAACTTGTGTGTTTCACACAACATCAACTTCAACCTTTGTACTTTCATCTTCATTCGGTTCAACCTTTATCAATCTACTATATGTTTGGTACGATTTGTTATGCATTATTTATTTTCTTAAGATGTCTTATTGTTATAGTGGTAGATCTGGGTGAGATCTTGATTGAAAAGTTATTCATCTATTATATGAGTTCTTGCTATTTGTTTTTTGTTCTTGATCCATAAATGTTTTGTTGCTATTTCTTGTTTTAATCAAATATTTTCTTACTATTTGTTTTTCATTGGATATGGATTAGATCTCGATTTACCAAATGCACAATTTAGTAAATGAACTAGATAGAGAGTATATTTCAACTGTTGTTTGTTGTTGTTGTGACATTAGTTAGAATGAAACTTAGAAAAAGACATAGAATAACTTACAATGATGAAACTCTTAATATGCTTCAGATTAGGTCATTGAATTTAAACAAAATGGTCTTTAAGAGTGTGGGTAATTGTAGAATGAATATGAGAGCTTTTGTAAAATTGTGTCTATTACTTTAAACACAAGGGGATTAAAAGGTATTTAGATATATGTTAATAGAAAAAATAGTTATTAGCCTCATTCACATCATTACCATCATAAAAAAACAGGGCTATAAAGCTTCAAGTTGCTGATATGGAGAGACAATTAGTAGGTAATTTCATATTGTGTTGAATTTTGTTTTAAGATAGCATTTTTGTTGCTTAAAAAACTAAAACTGATACCAAAGAATTCAATAAATAATAGATGGAAATGATTTAAGGTAATGCATTAATCATTGCTTAATCATTGCTTACTTTTAATAAATATTAATATATATTAATTTTTATAATGTATTAATCAGAGTTGTTAGGTTTAGGGTTATTTGGGTTCTTTAGATGGAACATATATAAGGGTTAATGTAAACTTAGTTGACAAGCATATATACAGAACTAGGAAAAATAAAATTACTACCAATGTTCTTGGTGTTTGCACACCAAACAAGAGATTCATTTATATTCTATCAGGATGGGAAGGTTCTATAGCAGATGATAGAGTGCTAAAAAATGCCATTATAGGTAAAAATGGTTTAGGGATCTCACAAGGTATTAGCATTAACATTTTGGTTTTAGTTTTGCATAAAATGGATTTTAAAAACTTATATTAACGTTATGACATTGAATTAGGTTTTTACTATTTATGTGATACTAGATACACAAATGGGGAAGGTTTTTTGATACCTTATAGAAGTCAAAGATACCATTTGAATGATTGAAAGTCAAGACACCAACCTACGACACCCTAAGAATACTTAAATATAAAACTCTCTCAAGTAATAAATTGTATTGAGAGATGTTATGGTATATTGAAAGCTAGATGGGCAATTTTATGAGAGAAATCATTTTATTCAATTAAAACACAATGTAAAATCATTTCTGCTTGTTGCCTTCTCTATAATTTTATCAAGTTTGAAATGCAAATTGACTTTATTGAAAGTGATGTTGTTGAAGTGAGTAATAGCCAAGTAGAAGGAGATGATCATCAAGATTTGGTTAGGCATGTTGAGCCAAGTGATGCTTGGACTGAGTTTAAAGACAACCTATTACAAGAGATGTTCACGAATTGATAACAATCCAGTGGTTAAGGACATTGTTTTTTATTTTTTGTTAGATTGTTGACATGGATGTGTGTTTGATATAGTTAAGTGTACTATTTATTTTCCACATTTGTTTTATATTTGTTTTCTTTTATTTTTTTAGTGTACAATGTAATTGACTATTGTTTGCAATAATATTTGTTTTGTTACCATGTCTATTGATTTTATTCCTGCACAATTTATTGGTTCATCTTCATGGGTTTTAGATTTGATATGCATTTGTTACATGATATCTAACTATATGATTAAGATATCAAAATATCGTCATCTACTGCCAACATAAAAAGTACATCTTTAAGAAAAAGACAAACCTTATCAGTAGGTAATCATACCCGAACGAAAGTTGAGGATGACATACTTGTCCAATGCCTATATGATCTAGTTACTGATCCTTGATCAAAAATCAATAATGGAACCTTTAGAGTTTGCTATCTAAGGCATCTAGAAAGGATGTTGGAGGCCAGAATTTCCCAATCACAACTGAAAGTAGCCCTACACACAGAGTTAAGGGTAAAGTTACTAAAGAGACAATATCATGCTATTTGTCATATAGTAGTCAATGTAAGCGGATTTGGTTAGAACAATAAGGACAAATGTATAACTGCTGACAAGAATGTTTTTGATTAGAGAGTTCAATTAAGTAGTTAACATGAATGTAGTTTATTTAAATATTTCTTATCAAAATATTTGATACATATTTAATTTAACTTTTATATAGACTCATTCACATGCTAGAGGGTTAAAGAACAAACCTTTTTCTCACTTTGATGACTTCAAAATTATTTTTGGATTTGATAAAGCTATAGGTCAAAGAGCTTAAACAACAACTGATACAGTTGAATCATTTAATGCTAATAGTGATGCTGCATTTGCTATAATGATCATGAGGTTGACATTAATCAGGAAGGGGAGAGATCAAAGGATGAAAAAGTTGAAGGTCTAGCTTGTGCAACAATCTTGACCACAAATAGAACACTGTCAAGTAGAAAGCGTAACAATGGATTAGTTGACTTGGTCGAGTAAATTGGTAATTTTGAGACTCCATATTATGAGGCAATACAAGAAATTAAAAGCATTTCATTTTTCTTCAAGAAAGAAATCTAGAGCAATGATAGGCAGATGCCACTTTTCACTTAAATTATACCACTAGACTATTTTCTCTTAAGATGAAGTGCTTTCTACTGGTGAGTATATCTCAAGGGATACTCATAAAGTTGATTTCTTATTTGCACTGCCACATGAATGTACAAAGGATTACATATGAAAACAACTAAATGAATGTAATGCTTATCAACCATCATTTGACTATTTTTTTTTCATGAAACATGTAGCTAATTTGTTGTATTGATTATAGACATCTAATTTTATCTGAGATATTTTATTGTTTTAATTTGAGTTTGCTTTTATAATTGGGCCTTAACCATAATTTTTTGAGCCCATTACACAGTTCAATTTTAAAAAGTTTAACTATAAGACCCAATATGGCCTCTCTAGTGAGACCCGTTGCATAGGCTGGAATGAATGCCTAAAATGGCCTAATAAAAGGCTCGAGAAAAGGCCTATCCTTAAAGCCCATTAATGGTCCATTGTTGGCCATTAAATAAAAAACTAAATAAAAATTATAAAAACCAAATATAAAATATAAAAATATAATAAATATAATAAAAAAATATATAATTAATAATAATAAAAAGTAATAAAAATATAAGAAAAAAGCTTGACCCAAAATGGCCTAGAATAGGAGTCCAAATTAGCCACAACATGGCCTAGAAAGTGAAGAAAATTGGAGCCTATAAGCAAACCCATAATTAGAGTTCATTTGGCTTAAAATTTTTGCATGAAAACAAAGCCATTCAGCTTAACTTAATAGATGAAAAAATTGAAAAGAAAAAAAAAACCATGCATGAACATGTGAGAAAACAAATAAGGAAAACTGAATGAAAACATGCTGAAGGAGTGGAAGAATTAGTAGAAACTGAAGTGAAAAATGCCTAAAACAAAAGAAAAAAAGGAAC